ACACTGGGGATCAAACCCATCATTGTGCTCTGCCCAAGCAGGCGCTTTAGTCTGCTGAGCTATCTGGCCAGCCCGCTAGCTAGAATTTTCTGACTTGCATTTTAATGGGGTTTTGGAAGGTGCAACCCCTCCTAATTTTCTGTAATTAGAAATCATGCACTACTGTGTGTGGGGGTGGGGTGTTAAGGATTGAACACAGAACTAGAACCTCCCACATGCCAGGCAAGCAGTTTGCCACTGAGCTGTATTCCAACCTGGTCTGATTTCTGAGATGGGTCTAAGTTGCCCAGGAGGGCTTGAACTGCTCCACCAAACTCAAGCCTTGGCAGTGTGTAGGATTACAGGGGTGCACACCACACCTGGCTTGGTTTTGAATGTGCCCTTCTAATCTTTTCACTGCTCAGGCCACCCCAACATATTTGGTAAAGCCTTCCTTAGTGATCCTCGCTGGAAGGAATCTTTCCTTCCTAGCATGCGGCTGACTTGAGGGTTACATGAAATAACGCACAAGTAATATTTAGGAGAAAGCTGGTCACACATTAAGCTCTCATGAAAAGGAAAAGCACCATCTTGAAGCACTTCCTGCCTTCTTCCTGGCTTTACCCTTTCTTGCCTCCAGGGGCGATCTCCCCTTCTCTCACACACAATGTGGAAGCAGAGTGTTAGACTGAGGGCTGTCTTAAGCTTTACCCCTGAGCACATTTCCTTACCTTCAAGATGGAGTACGGCCCTGCTTTATGGATTGGACTGGCACCGAGTGTACTGGAAAGGACCCGGGAGGGGGCTCACGTACCCCAATATCACCCTCTGGCAGGTCTGGCTATGGGCCCAGGTGTACCATCCCAAGATCAGACTGGTCCACAGAGGCTGCCCAGTGGCAGGCCCTGCCTCCCCTGCCAACCAGGTCATCAGGTCAGCAAGGCGCCACAGCACCACCTAGCGGCCACAACGCGCGACTCCCTCTGCCAGGTGTTCGGGAAAAGCTGCCCTGTCAGAGGTTCTGAAATCACCGCACTTTGCAGCTGCTGTCAGAGCTGGAGAGAAACCAAACACACCTGTTTTCTTTTAATATTAACAAATGTAAGCAGCAGAGAGGGCCAGCTGATCTTTGATGTCCCTCAGGGAAGCTGGAGCCCAAAGTTTCCTGGCTGCAGGTCCTGCTTGCCCCTCCCAGGCAGGAGCCTCACTTCAGCCCAACACCCCTGGCCCCAGCTTCCCACAAGGGATGAGGGGCACACGTGCCAGGTGGTGGGAAGAATACTGTTGTCCAGCCTCTGCTCTTCTAGTCCCAGCCGGGATGGCGCTCACTCCTCACAGTTCAGTCCCCGGGGCCAGGAGGGGGACTACCACGCCCAGGGAAGAGCATGTGACTTCAGTCAGACTCCTCTTCTGCCTCTTGTAGCCACTGGATGAACCTCTGCAGCTGCAGGAAGCAGAGGGCAGAGCTATGGGAGGGACACGCATCTCCATCCCCTACACACCCACACACACCCACAGTCCCTGCAGTCGGGGCCAGGCCAAAGCCCCGAGAGCGGCCACAAGAGTGCAGCCCACTCACCTGCTGGTTCTTGCGCAGCTGCCGGCCCCTGTCCGTGATGTCCCTTTGGTTGAACCAGCTCAGGATTGTTTCCTCAGCCAGGATCTCTAGCTGGTAGAAAGTCATGAGCACCTGCAGAGGGCCACAAAGGGGTCACAGGGACTTCACAAGGCAGCCAGGGAGAGGAGGCAGGACCCTAGCACCTCTACCAGGCCCTCAGCACCCTTCACGAGCAGAGCAGCCTCGTCCTCAGGTATACCCGGATCAGGTGTGACCTTGGCCAGGTGGTATCACCAACCAACGCCAAATAGCAGCCTTACAGTACTCACTAGCACTCACTCTCCTCCTGTAGCTCCCCACGGCTCAGTCTCGGGAGCGAGGGTGATCCTCCACGCACAGGGGTGGAAGTGTGACTTCAGTCATGAAGTCTGCCTGGCTCTAATCAACAAGCGCAACAAAGTACAAAGGATGCTGCGAGTCAAACTCCATGATGGGGTCACGTGGGCCATGCTGTCATGTCTCCCTGGAGCACTGAGGCCAGGTTAAAGCAAACACAGAAGCAGGAGGTTTGCAGAGGTACTCACCTTTGCCATGGAAGTCCCAAGAGCTTCATGCCCCAGGAAGAAGTCCTCAATGGCTGCCAATGCTTCCAAGTGGTCAGCTGCACGCTTTACATAGTTTCTAAAAACAGGGCTCCAGCCTTTGAGAAGCTATGGAAGAAAGAAGTGAAGTGCAATGCATTCAGAGGTGCACCTACACCTGAGCACAGTCGTTCTGGTACGTGGATCTTTCAAGACATGGGAAGGCAGAGGGAGGTAATCCAGGCTCCGTGGAATTGGAGGGAGGAGCTGTTGGGAGGCATGGCTGCGCAACAGGTTTCCCAGGCAAGGTGAAAGGAATCAGAGGCTGTAGGTTGCCTCTAAATACCCATCCCCAGCATTGAGGCTGCACTTGGTTTGAGTCAAATCACTTTTAGAGGGCGGGGAATTAACTCAATAGAATAAGCACCTGTCTGGCAAGCGCAAGGGCCTGCGTCCAATCCTCAGTTCTGCCCCCCCCCCAAAAAAAAAGCTCAGCCTGCCCTTGGGGGCGGGGCTGGCCCAGCATGTGGTGCCTGGGATCCAATTGAGCTCCCTGCACTTGCTTAAGCTTGCCTGCTCCTCTATTCCTTGCTATTTTTTTTTTCCTCAGAACCAGAGGTTGAATTTAGGCCCTTGTGCTACTACTAATCTATCTACCCGGCCCCCTGTTGTTAAGTTTTTGTTTTGAGACAGGGGTTTCACTCTCATTGCCAGAGTGGCCTTGAACTCCTGAAATGAAGTAATCCTACTTCAGCTTCCTAAGCAGCTGGGCTATCAGTGCAAGCAGCAGGCCTGGAGCCCAGATCTATTGCTGAGTATCCCTTTGGGGTCATAGTGCTGTCTGAATCCTGTGTCAAAGGTTATTCAGTGTTGAACCAAACTGTATTCCAAACCGTATTCCTCGGGACCAACCAAGGCTGCTTTGGAATCTAATAGGCTCCCAGAGGGAAGGAGAAAGGAACCAGAAACAATATAACCCACAAGATCAACTACTCTTGATTTCTTTTAAAGTCAGGCACAGCAAGGATGCGCATCTGCCTCCACCACTGCCCAGCCCCAGCCCAAGGCTTGCTCACAGGAAGCAGCAGCGCACAGTAGCGGGTTGGGCTGGGTGGTGAGTCCATCTGCTGCAGGGGGAACTCCAGGACCACATGGCTCAAGACCTGCATCACTTCCTTCAGGCTAATGTTGTAGGCGTACCTGTGGGGAGACTGGGGTGACACCAGGGCCCTCCACACACACTGGAGAGGGGGTCAGAGAAAAGAGTGAGGAAGGGGAGTCTATGTTAAGGCAGAACCTAATGTCCCCCTCCCAGATACTTCTGGCCTTTTCCCTTTGGGACACTTATAGCTGGGTAAGGAAATGCTTTGGGGAGAATCTCAACACCTAGAACTTCCCAAAGCAGAGAATGGGGGTGGGTGGGAAGGGCTTCTCTTACTTGAGAGAGTTGATCTCCAAGACTAGATTGTCACAAGAAATGTTTTCATCTTTGCCTCGCTGCAGTGTTCCCAGGACCTCGTTCTGGAACACTGAAGAGAAAGAATAAATTCACAGGCCACCACCATCCCAGACCGCTTCACTTTCGTCAGTCCCGACAGCACACCAAAGCCTTTCTAGGAGGAATGCAAGCCTCTGGCCAGGGGACACAGCGGAAGAAAAAACTGGAGGTTGTCCCTGTGCGCAGCCTCTCTGTCCTGCTGCTTACCTTTGATGTCATCCAACTGTGGGGAGCCTGCCCGGCTGTCCAGCTCCTCTGAGTCCATACTTCTTTCACTTTCGGTTTCACTCTCTTCTTCCACGTTGATTTTGAGTCCTGAGAACCCAAGAAAAGTAATAAAAAAAGTTACGGAAAAGAGCAATTGTTGGACAGCCCTCCATCTGCCTTGGAGGCCTGTGTAGAGGAACAAACTCCAAAGGACTCACTACTTCAAACTGCTCAGCTCCAGCTTAGCTTACCCCACAGACTCTGCCGCAGCTCTTCCTCCTCCTCTGCGTTGATGCCTGCAGTTTTCCAGAGGTAGCCCTGACCCGCAATGCCCACTTCTGCTGGGTTGTAACCTGGGAAAGGCACTGATGTCTAGAGCAGCCCCAACAGAAGCTGACTCCTCTGGGAGGACACAGTGACTTTCTTTGGGGAAGATGCAAGATGCCCCCCACCTGTCATACTGCGCACCTTTCAGCTTCGCTTTCTCCTTTTCTTGGTTAGCCCCAGAATCATCACTGAACTGGCCATCATCCTCATCTTCATCTGCGTCTGGAGGGTGCAAGGAGATCACCGAGCCCTCAGGCAGCGTGATATCTGGACCTACCACCACCTAGGGGAAAAGGAAGGGGTGGGTGAGAGCCATCATGGTGCTGAGAAAAAGGGAGAGTGACTTTTTTTGGCATAGACAAGTTGTTTTTTTTTGTATCAGGGATTGAACTCAGGACCTTGCGCTTGCCAGGTAGGTACTTAAGCCTCTGAGCTATCTCCCTAGCCCAACATGTCATGTTACTTCATTTTAATGTATTTGGTACAGGGTCTTACTATACAGCTCAGACTCGTAGTGATCCTCCTGCTTTCAGCCTCCCCAGTGCTGGGATTACAGACGTGTGCCACCTCACTTGATCTCCCAGTCTTGGTGGCAGGTTCAGCCCAACCTGAGGGCTGGGCCAACGCAGCATGTGGTGCCTGGATCAAACCCCAGTCCCTGCACTTGCCTAAGCTGGTGCTTAGTCCCCTGAGCTATCTCACCAGCCCTCCAACTTTTTTTTAAACTGAGTCAAATAGAAGGTGAGTGAAACCACCAGTGGCTTGGACTTGAAATCAGCGCTGCAGTACTAGTGGGACTAAGGTCGCTTTTCAGGGTTTGGGCAGTGTGAAGCAGGTCTCACCTGGGAAGTGAGGACGCAGTGTGGCTTCAGGGTGACTCGTTCCTTGACCTCAGCATGGTCACAGAGCAGAGACTCATGGATCTGTGCTCCAGCAGCCACTCGAACACCTCGCCACAGGTAGGCCCGGTCCAGGACCACATTATCACCTAGCTCGGGATGGGAAGGATTCCTGGTCAGTCATAGCTTCCTCTCCTGCCCACAGCCCTTTGTGGAGGACAAGGCTACTGAGACAACAGCTCAGCTCCCACGGGCTCCAAGATGCCAGCCCCCAAAGCATCAAAACATCACTCATGCTCTAGGCATAACCCTGGTCATAGGACATCATTTTGCCTGACTCTCCTCTACCATGTTTGTTTGGGTTTTTTTTTTTTTTTTTCAGAACCAGAGATTGAACTCAGGCCCTTGTGCTTGCCAGGCAAGTGCTTATTCTGCTGAGCTATCTCCTCGGCCCAATTTTTCTGAGTACTTTCTTTTTTTCTCTACCACACTTAGGGCAATTACAGACTGTATATGGATAGGGCTTCAGAAGCTGAGAACCTTCAAGATTTCTGGGGATGAATTTAAGAACTTCATTAGAATCAAATTATAACTTATTAGAACAGCTATAATTTTATTAGAATCAATGCTACTTCTTGGCTATTTAATTTTTTTATTTTTTGCATAACTGGGAATTGAACTCAGGCCCCTGCACTTGCCAGGCAAGCACTTATTCCACTGAGCTATCTCCTCGGCCCCACTCTTAGATATTTTAGAATCTAAATTTTTTATATATTTGGTGCAGGATATCACTATGCAGCTCGGACTCATAGAGGTCCTCTTGTTTCTTTTTCTTTTTTCCCAGCCTCCCCAGCGCTGAGATTACAGGCATACACTGCTATGTCCAGACTGGCCAGCACAGCAGTAGGGACAGGAGGGATGGCACGACATGTGGTGCCAGGGATTGAATCATGGTCCTTAAGCTGGCCTAAGCCAGTGCATTAGTCCACTGAGCTATCTTGCCGGCCCATGACCCTCCTGTTTAAACTTCCCCAGCACTGGGACTACTGATGTGCACCACCACACCCAGTCTTGGTGGCCAGCTCTGGGAACCTGGGGCAGGGCCAGCACAGCATGTGGTACCGGGGATCAAACCCTGGTCTTTGCGCTTGCCTAGGCAGGCACTTAAGACCGTAGAGCTCTCTGTGGTCCCTTTTTTTTTTTTTTTTTTTGCGGAACCAGGGATCGAACTCAGGCCCTTGCGCTTGCCAGGGAAGAGCTTATTCCACTGAGTCATCTCCCCGGCCCCAACTGTTGTTTTTTTTAAAGGGACAGTACCATTAGGAGCATCACATTCCTACACCCAGAAGTTAGGGGAGAGTAAAAAAGAATCCTGGACTTACAGCAGAATACCTAGAATTCAAGTCTCAGCACTGTGTATCCGCTACTACCACCCCACTTTGTGTTTCCTTGAGACAAAATCTTGCTTTGAACTCACTGGATAGCCCAGTCTGGCCTCACACTTGTGATCCACCTGCCTCAACCTCCTAAGTGCTGGGATTATAAGCATGAACTTGATGGTACTGGCACTTCACTAGCTATGACCTTGGGTAAGACAACCTCTTTGAGGTTTATAAATTAGGGATCATAATGCCTTCCTCTTAGAAATCTTTGTGAGAATTAAATAATGTATGTAAAAGCCCTTTGTAAACAGTGATGCATCACACAGAGATTATTACATGTTAATTACCTACTTGGTCCTGAATGTAAATATGGGGTACCTTGAAATGTAAAGACTCATTGAATAAGAGACTGAGGATATAAGTAAAGGGATCAGTTGTCAAACCCTTATTACCTCTTTTTTTTTTTTTTTCTCGAGACAAGGTCCCACTATGCAGTTCAGCCTGTCCCTGAGCTCACTTTGTAGCCCAGGTTGGTCTCTAACTTGCAATAATTCTCCTGCCTAAGCCTTCCAAGTGCTGGCATTACAGGCATGCACCACTATGCCTGCTTCTCACTCTTTTTTAAATTAATTCTTTTGGGGCTGGGGAGATGGCTCAGTAGAAGTGCTTCCCTGGCAAGCGCAAGGGTCTGAGTTCAATCCCCAGTTCCACAAAAAATAAAAAATAAAAATCAATTAAAAAGTAGTTCTATTTTTTTTCTCATTGCAAGGACCACTCTCATGTGCCATCCTCGCTTCTGGAAACAATATAGGCCCCCAGGGTCCTGTTCCTAGGATGGCTGCCTCAATTTCCCTCCTGTGCTCACCAATGTGGCAGTTGGGGCCAATGACACTGTTTGTGATGGAGCAGTTGCTGCCGATGACAGTGCCGGAGCCCAGCAGCACATTTTCCTCCAGTATGCTGCCATGGCCCAGGCTGACCTCAGGCCCCCGGTAGATGTTGTGTCGGGAATGGGTGCAGCTGTGGGCGGCGCTGTCCGTGAAGTTGGCTTCTGGGGTGAGGGGGTAGACCCAGCGGCGGACGACATCAGCACAGATGGCTGAGTACATGTGCAGGTTGGAGACCCGGGCACCATATTCTCTATTTGTTACGTGCATGTGGATCTGGTTCCCCAGGATCTGAATGAGGAAGGGAGGTCATCCGAGACACAGGAAGGCGACACATAGGAAGAACATCCTAGAGTAATGTATCGCTTTTCTAAGCCTCTTAATTTCCCCTGCATTTACTATAGGCAAAGAGCAGGAGCGTTTTCTTCCAGGGCTGTTTTCTTCAGTCTCCGCCTGCTTCCTTCCCTCATAAGGCTCAGTGAAACCCAAAGGGGCTAAGAGGTTACCTTCTGAATGAGAAAAAATGCAGTCCCATCCTTCCTACTCTTTTAAAGAGGCTCTGGAGGGTTTTTCTTACCTCTTCATTCACAAGCAGGCCTCGCACAAAATCATCTCGAGTTTGGTAGTCAAAGTTGTCTGTGAAGAGCTGAGCTACCTAGGGGTGGAAGCGTGCCAGGCTAAAGTCAGGTGCTGGGGCTGGTGAGATGGCTCAGTGGTCTAAAGCACCTACTTAGAACAAGCTTAGCAAAGCACAAGGACCGCAGTTCAATCCCCCAGCACCACATGCCAGCCAGCCCCGCCCCCTGGTGCCCCCCCCATAAATAAATAAAGTAAGTAAGTCAGGTGCTGATCTCTGGAAGTAAGGACAAGTCCCCCAGAGCCCTATCTAACCCAAGGCAGGGCTGGGGAGATAGCTCAGTAGAATAAGCACCTGCCTGGAAAGCACAGGGTCCTGAGTTCAATCCCTGGTACCTCAACAAAACAAAACAAGGCAGGACTAGGGGTGTAACTCAGTGCGTGTGGGGGTGGGGGTGCATGGCTACCATGCAGGAAGCCCTGATCTCAATCCCCAGGACTATAAGACAAGACAAGACAAACCAAACCAAACAAACCTCTGACAGCTGGATGAGGCCAGAACCCCAAAGAGGCTCCCAATATATCAGGGACAAAGAAATAGCAGCTTTCCATTTTACAACAGATAAGGAAAGCACACAGCAACAGATCCCGAAAGTTATCTTTGGACATGTGACCCCAGCCCTAGGCATTCACCTGAGGAGAGCAGATGCTGATGTGACAATCCAGTAAATCGTATCGAATGTCCACTCCATTTCCACTGCCCTGGAACAGACTCTACAAGGAGAAACACAAGGACTTTAACGTGTCACTGCTTCTCAAGCTGGTTACTTTCCCACCTCGAGCTCCTCAGGTACCCACACACCAGAGGAAATGAGAAACGACGGAGGCCCTGGGTTTTCTGGAAATGCAGAATCCGGTTTGTGGCACTATCTACAGCCACCACCACATTGTCCTCATGGCAACGAGTAGGGTGGCTGGGGGATGACTCCTTGAAGATCATCGTCATCACAGAAACATTTTTTTCTAGCTTCCGCCTCAACCTACAAAGGACAGGAGGAAGAGAGCTGCAGAAGAGCTGCCCTAGGGCCCTGCTGGTCCCTAACCCTCATCTTGGCCACATTCTCATCCTGACCTGTGCTCCTCCAGGGCCCTGGTAATGTTGATGTTCGAGATGACATCTCCATAAACCAGCAGGAAGTCAGAACGCACCAAGGCCTTGGCGTCAACATCCCGGAGGACATCTCCCAGTGATCGATACAGCTCGGATGTGATGATTCGAACCACATTGAGGGATGTAGGGCGGCACCACTTAGATTTCCTGCAGGATGGAAAGGGCAAGAGAAATGAATAAATCTACCCTAAAGTTCATGCGGGCCCTACCTGCCCCCATGCAGTATTCACATTCCTTTATTGCTTTTATGACTTCCAGCCAGCGTCCTCAGCTTCAAAGAGATTTATGAACTATAATTAATGCTTTCAACATTCTGTATCACTGGTTGTTTCATGGGTTAGAGAAATATGGTTTCCTTTCTATGTCTTGACCTCTGTTCCCAAATCCTAATGAAATCTAGGGTATGAAAGAACTCTGGGAACACGCTTTCCATGTCACCTTTTCCCTGAGGTCCCCGTATCAAATTCAGGAACTGTCTGATGGTGACCGCACTAGTAGCTAATCTTTATTTCCTAATCTTTCATAAATTCTGAGATTTACTCTTTCCCAAGATTTTAACAAACATTGTGAATGGCTTGTTATGTGTGTGGCACTAAATGAGGAAGTGGGAATACAGAGATGAAAAATAACTCATTCTTCTTTTTTTTTTTTGGTGGAGTCGGGGATTGAACTCAGGCCCTTGCGCTTGCCAGGGAAGCATTTATTCTACTGAGCCATCACCCTGGCCCAAAGAACTCATTCTTATCCTTAAGGGGAAGAACAAAATGTTTGGAAACTCAGTGGAAAGACAAATACATTATTCCAATAAAGTACATATTGAAAACATTAAATAAGTATAACCTAAGTAAGATTCAGATAAACCCACATGTCTCAAGGAGAGACAGTGCTTCCCTATGCTCCCCAGGCTGGTTTTGAAGTCCTGGGCTTAAGGGATCTCCTGCCTCAGTTTCACTGCTGGGTACAAGTGTTAGTAGGACTTTTATCACAGGAAGCTCCAAGTGGGCAGATACAGAGCTATAGCTGCTCACCTTGCAAGCGAAGCCAACAACCTCAGGTCCTACTGTGGGAACTACGGACATATTATTTTCCCTCAAGTTTCCCCTTACTCAAGTTACATTCATCCTGAAAAGACCACAGAGATGGTAAAACATGAGAAGAAAAAAAATCACAGGGCCTTACAGTAAATGTTCTTTGATCTGAGCAGCCTTCCAACAGCAAAAGACAAAGGTTTCCTGTACACCTGTGGCTGTCAGGAATTCCAGAGTGTAGTCAATTAATGCCACGTTGGCCAGGGGTAAGAGGACCTGCAGGGCAGGATATGAAAAACTTTTGAGGTCTTGAATTCATGAGGGTCCTCTGGGTACCCAATTACTACAACAATTTTCACTCATCTATCAGTGCTTCCAAATACTACAGTTATACGTGATCTTTCTAAACCAAAGGTAAGTATGTTTCTGCTTTGTTTTGAGACAGGGCCTCTTTGCAGTACAGGTTGGCCTTGAATTCACTATGTAGCCCAGGCTGGCCTCAACTGAAGTCGACCCTCCCTGTGATTACAGGCGTGCACCACCATGCCCAATGGTCCCTGCTTTTGATAGTCTTGGTATGTGCTAAGCTGGAGGCCAAGGTGTGTCAATTTGGGCACAGCAAGAAGGGAACCTATTTGTCTAATACCAGGCACAGAGTTCCAGGTTTTACAAAGAAACAGTATTGAACATTCATCATGTTTCCAGAACTTTAAGCACTGATAAGACTTCTACGCCCTGAAATTTATTTTCTTCCTTCCTTTCATCTCCCCGCCCTGCCTCCTGTTTTGTGCTGGTGATTGAATTCAGGCCTTCACAATAGAACCACAGCCCCACAGCCCCAGTCCTTTTCTATTTTTTGCAACAAGGTCTCACTAAATCGCTTACCCACAAGGGGCTCAAACTTGTGGTCCTGCCTCAGGCTCCCATCACGCAGGAATTACAGGCCTGTGTCACCAGGCCTGGCTCCTTGAAGCCTTTTCTACGAATCATGGGTTTGCCATCCCTTTATCACTTATCAAAAACGAACAGCCATTAGGCCTTTTGGGGAGGGGGTTTTAGAGAAGATTTTCCTGGATTTTAGTGACTCCCCTCTCTTAGAACTTCAGTCCCATTTGTATTGTTTAGATAACTCGGGAGCTGGCAGCAATCAGCTATTAAACTTGACCTCCTTTAGACGGCAGGGGGGTCATTAAAAGCTAGAAGGGGAAAAAAAGTACACCACCTTGCGCTGTAGCCTGCTCTTTTTAGGCATTCTGAGTCAAAGAGAGACGCTGTTTCTTTCCAGCTAAGCATCTCTCTTCCGCAGAGTCAAACGCAGTGCAGGCTCCGGGGTGGCCCCTGAATCCCCGCTGTCAGAGCTTCCGTCGGCACTATGTCTGCCTTTCACCCACTCCATCCTCCCAAACCTGGGGCGGACAACTCTGAAGGCTTCCATCTCCAAAGCCACTCACGTGGGCGCGCAGTCGTCAGGCTTTCAACAGCTCCTGTTTGCCTCCCAGCCGGATAAGCCCGATTTTAGGCTTATCCGGTGACATAAGTGCTTCCCGGAGCTGGCACCACCACCCTCCCGGCCCAGGCGCTCACCCGAGGCTGGTCCTTGGAGATCGGGAAGAAACGACGGTTGAAGCTATCGGCTACCAGAACTGCTTGCAGGGGCGGCGGCGGTTCCTCCTCCGTCGCCCTGGCTCCCCCGCCAACGCTGCTGCCGCCTCCACCTCCGGGTCCCCCGCCACCTCGCTTGTTGGCCCGACTGGCCTCCCCACCAGGTGCCGCCGCCACAGGGCTCGCCATCTTTTTCCCCTACTGCCACCACTTCCGCCGGGAAGCCGACACCGCACGCAGTAGGGGACAAAATACACCCAACACTGGAAACGCGAAGGCCGGAGGAACGAGCCGGGAAGGGAGGAATGCGCATGCGTCCCTCCCAGTCGGGCCCCACCCTCCCCGTGGGTGGGCTGAGCGGAGGGGCGTGGCGCGGCGCCGGCTGGGCGGGGCCAGCTGGGAGGGCGGCGTGTGGAGGGGTGCTGTCGAGGCTGGCTCTGTTGGCCGGATTGTAAACCCTCACTCGAAGAAACAGAGATTCCTGCGGCCTGATGGGATTTGTGGTTGCCGCAAAGGCGGCAGCCTGGTGGGCTCTGAATCGTCTAGCACTTTCCGTGCCCCAGCGTGGCGGACACCTAATGGGACCGGCGGTGGGGGTGCGGGCCGGAGCCAGTCCGACTTCAGCTTCCTTGGGAACTCGCGATCTGCTTTAACAGTGTGTGTGTGCGTGTGTGTGTGTGTGTGTGTGTGTGTGTGTGTGTGTGTGTGTGTTTCTCTGGAGCGATCTGCTTTAACATTGTCTGTGTGGGTTTCTCTGGAGCGCGGATGGTGGGCCGGTGCGGTACAAGCATGGGCTTATGTAATTCATCACCTTATTTCTTTTGTTCAACAAATCAGTCCTTGCTCTTCCTCCTCCTCCCTGCATCTCCAACCCCCTCCTCTCCTCCTCTTTTCCCCTTCTCATCGTCCTCCCTATCATTCCCCTCTTCCCCCTCTTCCCTCACTTCTCTTCCCTTCTTCTTTGGTGCTGGGAGCAAACATTTCTTGAACTCTTTTCAATTTTTATTTTTTGTTAATAAGTGTTTGCAGTACACGGTGATCATCTTCCTGACTTGGGAGTGGAACATGTATATCACACAATTTTTTTTCATCATTTCCTTCTTGCAGAAGATCTAGGAAAGATCTCTCTTTCCTATATCTGTTATTTTGTTTTTCTTTGTATTTTGGGTTTCTCTTATAAGAGAGACCATGCACCACTTTAGCTTGTGTACTTAATTTATTTCACTTAACATCATGGTCTCAATGTCTATCCATTTTTCTTTTTTTTCTTTTTTTTTTTTTGGCAGAACTGGGGTTTGAACTCAGATCCTTGCATTTGCCAGTCAAGCGCTTATCCTACTGAGCCATCTCCCCGGCCACTGTCTATCCATTTTTCCTGTGAATGACTCTTATCCTTTATTGCAGAGCAGTGATACAGGGAAACCTCCAAATGAAACAGGGAGAAAAACTGATCTCCCAACCTAAAAGGTACCTGGAATGAGTTCCTGTTCTCTAAAACCCAAGAATGAATTTTAGGAACAAATGGAGGTTATGAGCAGAATATATTTATTGAGGGAAAGAGAGCTCCTGTCAGAGACAGGAGAGGGGAGCCCAAGTGGGTAGTCCCCAGGAAGCTGTCTCTTCCAGGGTCTTTTATGGAGGAAAACCACGTGGTGAGGCGGGTCTAAGGTGGTGGAGAAGACATGGGAACTCGCCTAGGTGGGCATGAGGTGGGACAGAACTATGGTCATCCAATGAGATTACAAGCACCACTGCTCAGGTAAAATTGATTAAATTCAGTACCAAATGGGGAAGTGAGTCACAGAAAGTGGGCATGAATATGGGACAGGGTCTGTTCCTGTTGAGGGTTGGGCTAGTGAGTCATTTGGGCTCTTTCAAGGTGGTTGATACCTATTTAGAATATCAATATCGATATGCGCATCCCTAGGGAAACATGTAGCTGTGCTTCCTATTTTGTCTTGGTCTTGAGGTGTGGCCCATACTGGAGCATCTGTCTCCTCATTGTAAAGTCGCCTTGTCTTCCCTCTTGTCTCCTTGAGGGCCTGGCCCTATCTGACTGCCTATAATATTCCTATCTAATTCAGCTGACTACCACAGTAGTACTCCATTTTGCGTAAGCACCACCTTTTCATTGTCCATTTATCTGTTGATGGACATGTAAGCCACTTTAAAGATCTAGCCATTATGAATTGTGCTGCTATAGGGCTGGGGAGATAGCTCACTGGCATAAGCACCAGCCCGGCAAGCACAGGGTCCCGAGTTTGATCCCCAGTACCACACACACACACACACACAAGAATTGTGCTGCTATAATCGTGTGTGTGCGTGGATCGCTGTAATATGATGCCTTGAACTCTTGGATGAAGGACGTACTCCCTGCTAGTAAGTGGAAGAACTGGTACTGGAACCCAGTCCTCCTGTTGCCTGACTTCATAATTAGTTTCACAACCTTCTGCCAAGTTGTGTGGGGATAACATCTATATTAGTATTCGTTTGTGGAGGACTATCTGAGCAGCTCTTCTTGAAAGAAAAGCAGTTGTCTCCATTTTGATGAAGCCTGACCCTTTTTCCTTATATTGATATGTACAGAGCTGGCCATGACTTCTGTTTATCCTTCAGTTGGCCTTAAGCAATGTGTATTGGTCCAGCTGAGGTGCTGGTGATAGTCTTTGGAGGTGGTATGCGTTTTTCCCTATACCAGTACCTGCTGCTCTTTACTGTGAGCCAATGCTGGGATCAAGCCTGAAGATGGAGGCAATGACTTCCTGGGGCTTGAAGGATCACATCAGCCCTGAAGCACCAGACCCCCGAAACATTAGATACTATCTCAATAGCATAATGTAGATTATGCTATTCATATCATCTCTGCATATGGCAGAGGTACATGTAGGCCACTCACCTAGCTCGGCTCACAGTACTTACCTACTTCTCACAATTCTCAGATATTCCTCAAGCCACTCCTCCTCCACTGAATAAAATCCAGCTGCAGCCCTGGGTCAGCCTCTTTGTTCCAGAAAGCCATTTTCAGGGCTGGACTTAGGGTCCCTTGGCTCCCCAATAATTGTAAATATGCTTTACTTTCGCTGTGGGTTGCACTGGGAGTGGTAGATTGGAATTAACTTGGTGGGATTCTAATAAATTATCTTTGGGATTACAAATACTGACTTTTTTTTAAAGAAGTATTTATTTATTTATTTATTCATTCATTCATTCATTCATTCATTCATTCATTCTGTGTGTGTGGCCAGCTCAGCCCACCAGGGGGCGGGGCTGGCTGGCATGTGGTGCTGGGGGATTGAACCGCGGTCCCTGTATTTTGCTTAGCTTAGCTTGTTCTAAGTAGGTGCTTTAGACCACTGAGCCATCTCACCAGCCCAAATACTGACTTCTTGGACAGAGAGAAGAACCTGGAGGGGACTCCTACATTCATTCATTCATTTATTCATTCATTTATTCATTCATTCATTCACCCTGTCACTCTATGCTGAGGCTTAAACCAGAACAGAGATGGGTGGAATCAACTCAGGAGGAGTAGCCAGCTCTGGCAGACCCCAAAGGGCAGAGTAGGTTTTGGGAAAACCTGGTGTTGGCAGAGCGGAAACAGAGCCCACGGCTGGGGGGCAGGGAGATGAGGAGCAGCTGGGTTAGCAGGCTGAGGTCTGTTGTTTTGAACAGCCTGACTTTCCTCACTGTCAGGTGCCTTCCTCTGGGACCAAAGAAGTTGGTACCTCCACCGCCCCCACCCTGGTTAATGAAGAAACCCCCCATGAAACCACTGATTTTGGAAATTTTAGTCTGGATCAGGAAGGGAGACAACACTCAATAAAAGTTTTCTATTAAATGAACTTCCTTTGTAAAGGAGAGAGAGATTAAATAGGTGATTTGCACCAGTACACACACACACACACACACACACACACACGCATGCGCGCGTGCGCACACACACACACACACAGAGGATGAGGGGATTGAGCAATATGGAAAGTTGGTCCAATGGATGATTTTTTTTTTAAAGCCAACTCTGCTCCTTCAGCCAATGGGAGAAATTTCTAGTTGAGTTCCATCATTTTGGAAAGTGGTATCTCTGACTCTAAAGTATTTGTTGGAGTGGTAAATCCAGGCCTGACAATTCTGTAGATAGTCAGATGGGCGCTGCTTTAATAGATGGAGCTGGGGCTGGTGAGATGGCTCAGTGGTCTAAAGCACCTGCTTAGAACAAGCTTAGCAAAGAACATGGACTGCAGTTCAATCCCCAGCACCACATGCCAGCCAGCCCCGCCCACAGGCAGGCTGAGCTGGCCACACACAAATAAATAAAAAAAAATAAAATTAAAAAAAAAATAGATGGAACTGTGGGCAGCTCTCAACCTGTTAGTTTTTTGTTTGTTTCAGCACTTATATGGAAGATTGAAAGCCGCAATCCACACCCTCATATATAAAAGTAAAAATCCCTTTCTCTGCTTCTCTCATCTTATTGACAAATAACTTAGGTAGAAATATTACAGGCAATCAAATGGGCTGGGTCCTCAAGGGAGTCAGTGCAGAGGATGAGAATACATTACAACTGTGGCTTCAGAGGCATCCATTGAAGGGCAGGCCTCAATAAAGACAGAACAACCCTGCCTGCATACCTCCTAGAGAGATTAGCCACATACTCCAATTGGATCACCTGGTCCAATAAAGTCTAGATAGACATCAGTCACCCAAGTGGGTGACCAGGACCTCCTGATTCCTTTCCCCCCAAAATATCCTTGTTCTTTCCATGTGCCCTTGCCATGTGACTTGCTTCCCCACTGAATCAACATTGCTTATTTATTTATTTATTTATTTATTTTTGTTTGTTTTTTTGGTGGAACCTGTGGTTGAACTCAGGCCCTTGCACTTGCCAGGGAAGCGCTTATTCCACTGAGCCATCTCCCCGGCCCCGACATTACTTAAAGTGGCTATACTTGTAATCTGAAAGCCTCGGCGCGTGCACTCATGGCCTCGGCATCGTTTGCTTGCATCTTCTTGAAGCCCTTCTTGTTGTGCTTCTTGGCAAAATGCGTGTTCGTGAGGAACTTGGGATCTCCCCCCTTCAGAGATTTATATTTTTGTGACTGATGTTTCTTGATGCCATTTCTGTGCCATTTTTGGGACTGGTTGTGCGTGGTGTGGTTCTTGGACTTGGCCATAACTGTACTGTAAACTGCGGCTGCCAAACGCCTGGAGCGTAGTCTTTTTATTTGTTGTTTTTAAATCTCTTTGAGACAGGTCTCCCTGTGCAGTTTAGGCTGGCCTTGAGCTCACT